TCAGTGGGTCGGCAGCAAACTGAGAACCTCTGAGTCTAGAAGAATTACATCCGAAACAAAATTACAATTTGAGAATTAACCAAAAGAGAAAAGCAGGTGGGGGCTCTAACGCCAACTGAATCCATCCTCTACGGTTCAGATGCAAGTTAGGTTCAAACCTAACAAAGCAACTAAATCAGCACGGGAGATGATTTGTTGCATACCTTGCTCAATTGAAGGCGCGCGGTTAGAGTGATGGTTTTAAGGGCGATGGATTCTAGGAGTGCAATCCTCGCCGTGCTTTTTCAAAGGCAATTCTTCAAGTAATATATAGTTATAATAAATTATAGTTATAATAGTTTGTATTTTTATATTGTCGAAAGGGGGATTGTGCCTATTTCCGGCAAGTTTAGGGATAATGAACCAAATCATTTGATTTTACTACAGCGGAGGAGGACGGATCACCAGAATTATACAGGTGTCTTCTTGCTTAGTGTTGAGTTACAAGGCAATTGGTGGCTGTCAGTGAAGCAACCGTCCGTTAAAATGCTATACTGATATAATAAAATATCCTGAAACGTTTTCGCACTTCTAGAAACACTCCTCTCTTTCTTTCGCTTCGTAAAATGATATTTCCACATTATTTTGCTCGCCACCACCCTCTGTATTTTTTCTTTAACCTGATGGTTCGCCATCGATATGTTTTTCTTGAGGTTGGTTCTACATGTTATATTAATTGCCTATTTCTTAACTTCTTTCTAATAAGTTCCTGTGGGTTATCCCCACATAGTAAAGAAGAGCCCCCATTTTCTCAGCTTCACTCCCCCGATCCCCAATACCATCAATCACTCTCTGCCCCTCATTCGCAAATACATCACCCCTTCCGGCCGATTTTGGCAACCCAAAAAAGTTGGATCACAAAAAACATCCGAAAAGCACAGAATAAATTCCGAGAGCCACGGGCTTATGATCGTTCCTTTACGGCATACTGACAAAACAGAGGATTCACGACTTTTGAGGATTTAAGGAACAGATTTAACATGTCTGAAACCTATTCTCAGTTGGTTTTTCCCCAGCACAATTGTACAGATTTGATTTGATTTATTCTTTTGCTTTTTGCACATTTGGCTTCACAAAAACGTCATTTTCAGAATAAAGATACTTTTATAAACATATTTACATACAATTCGTCTTAAGGTAATTATTCAATGTTATTAATATTATTACAACTATATTTGCATACAATTCTTCTCACAATGAGAATTCACAATGCTTTATCTAAAAATCCATTAATTGAATAAGGGCATTTTGCTATTAAATGTCTTGTGGCCAGCTTATAGAATGTTGGTTTATGTATGTTTTCCTTCACGATATTTGGCAATCTATTATAGGATTTCCATGCCTTTGTGAGGTATGCGTCGTCCTTTGATAAAATACCTAATCGGTGATACACCTTGTGCCATATAAGCAGTCCCCTCCTCCTTCAACTGGTGGCCCTCCCGTGGCAGCCTCGTCACCTGAGATAAATGGTTCCTTGCTTCCGTAATAGCTTGCAAGGGTACTCCACGCACGGGATGGCCCTGCTGATTTACCCATGTGCCTCTGCCTTATCTCCCTTCAGCCTTTTAGCCAGTAATTTTGGCTGGTAATGTTAATATCTCATGATAGATGAAGGAATACAAAAGAAAAAAAACCAAACCTTAACTTAGTTGTGACTTTCAAATTGCATCAAAAGCTGCGGAGCGTGATATTCTTTCAATGATGAATGACTCCTCAAACATCGGAAATTTAAGACGCATTTTATCGTACCACCAAGGTTCTATTGTGACCACGTCAAGTTTTTTTCACAATGAAACCATTGAACTGCGATATAAAACGTAAAACATAATCACTAGATCAATCTATGCCTCGCGGTCCAGCCCTGAGTTAGTTTCGAACATAAATCTAAAGAAAATCACTAGTAGTTTGGGATTTTCTCTTTCTCAAATTTTCATCTCTAGAGAGGTGGGCTTTGGCCTTTTGAAAATCCTCCAATCTACTTCGGAAAATGATTTTCTCTTCCAAGTCCCTCAAGAGGTGAGATACATCGTCGATTAACAGAGCTCTCAAATGCTCTAACGAAGAGATACCAAGCAACTAAACTAGCATGAAAGGTAGCTTGTTGCCTACTTCGTACAATTGAAAGCGCACGGTTAGAATGATGTTCTTAAACGCGTTGAATCATTGTATTGCAACCCGCGCCTGAAATTTGAAGGGTCCATCACACTGAAAAAAAAAATATGGCAACTCCTACTTTAAGTCTACTTGTTTTTTTTCCACCGTGATACTATTGATTAAAAATAACCAGAATTATAGTATCATTTACTCGAACTCAGGTTATACTTACCATACTAAGGTAAATTCAGAGTCTGGCGTTTATTATTATTATTCTCGGATCACTGTGTCCGAGTATGGTAAATTCTACCATAATTTTTTTCAGCGAAGTATTTTCTTCCAAACAGTATCTTCATACGAAACAGTTGCCTCTTATATTTCATATTTCCACTCGACTTTCCTCATTAATTTTTCCGGTTGCATCTCGCGATTGCGACGGACCGAAGTGCAGCGAAGCGCAAGTTGGAGATGAGGTGGTTGGTCGCACATATCTATAAGTTATGAGGAGGAAAGGAGAGCATAGCCGAAAACAATCGAATCTATTTGTTGAGTGAACTTGGGCGGAAGTTAAGTGCGCGCGTGGGTGCCGGGCGAAGGGCAGAGATTTATGCTCGGAGTGGATCGGAGCGCCATGTCATGGGATCGGGTCGGGGCTCCGGCCCCGGCGCGAAAGAAAGCGGACTCGGCAATCAAGTTCGCACTTGTTTTCCAGTCCTCGATCGGCGCCCAACTTACAACTTAAGCTCGCTCCCCACCCGCATTCCGCTCAACTTCACTCATTTACCTTCACATATTCTCGCCCTCCGGCGCCTTGCCAGCTGAAGGAAGAAGAATCCGTCGCCGAATTCTCGATGCTTACCGAGGGACCAACTTAGTAAGAAACTAAGTAAGATTTCTCAACAGCACGAGTGTCAACACGAAGATCGTGTCGGACTGCCACTCGTACCGTATAAGAGAACAAAAATCAGGGAGACAGCCCAGAAGTCAACACGACAAGTCGTATTGCGAATCCTTCTGTGCTGAGGTCCTCCCAGGTGAGATGTACTTGATAGTGAACCAATCGATATGCAGGTGAAGTTGAGTTTATTTTGAGGAATACAAACAATCTGCGATGTTTGTGTCGTTGCCTCAAGAGAGATACGTCACGGGAAAGTTTTCCGCATTTGACGGAGTCACAAGAGCGTGCAGTAGATTCAGAACGAAGAGCTGACGAGGACTAACGCGGCTCTCTCAACTGATTTTACTCTAAGGGATGCAGCGCAGGTCGCGCCGCGCATGCGCAGTGGAGTCCTCAAAACAAGCGGGGGTGGTGAAGAGAGAGAGAGAGAGAGAGAGAGCAACGTTGGATGAGGTAGTGAGAGCGAGAAGAAATGCAGAGCCGAGGGTTGAAGATTAGAGAGAGAGATAGACACATACATACACGAGAGAGGAGCGAGAAGGAGAGCGACATGTGATTCAAGACAAGGGGAAGCGTGCAGAAGGCTATTCATTTCAGTTGAAAGAGAAAGAGAAAGGCCCATTCATTCCTTTTAGAAAGAGTGCGATGATAAAAAGAGGGGGCAACGACACAACATTCGATGACTTATGCTAAAAAGACAATTATTACAAAAATGACTTAAGATTAAAGTTAAATACCCAACATAACCCCCCACCTTGAATCCTCCTAGGATTCAATCCAAAACGGAGAAGCACGATTGAATTAAAGTGATTATATACATACTAATTTATAGATACAGTTTTGACTGAGCTTCCTTTCGCTCCATGACCTTTTTACGGGTGAATTCCTTCATTCTCTGGGCCTGTTGACGTCGACGGCTGCCTTGTCCCTTCCGATTTTTTCTCGATTTGTGTTCCTCAGTGTCTCCGTTGTGCTGTTCTTCCTTGGTGCTTGAAGTCGCCGCACTAGAGTTATACTGCAAGTTGAATAATTGCTCAGGTCGTGACGGTGTCACTACGCAATCCTGGGTGGCGCTAGTTACTGTTGACTTTGGCTGAAACCGACATGTTGCACTACATTTCGCACTATTTTGATGGATCCTTTTTACTAATCCGATTTGATTGATTCGGAAAAGTTCAATCATTGGATTTAGGGCACTCGCGAAAACACTGGATGACTTTGCGGTGTTTAATTGGTAAAGTTTCCAGGTATTTGTAGGTGTACTCGAGGATTCAGCGCGCGTTGGATTTACTAGGCAAGTCGGTGGCGGATTTTCGTCTTCAATATCGGACCACGTACTCATTTGCTGAAGTACATCCTCCTCATAGACTATGCTCCTTTCATACGCTCTTTTGCGCTCAACGTATTCGTGGAGGGAGATTTTTCTTTTTCGCGGAAAAACACTGGCTACTGCTTTTTCCCAGGCTGCCATGCCTGCCGCCCAGCCATTTTCGTCACTTTGCTGTCGTTGCATTTTGAAACAAAATTATGTAGCACTTAAGCTGTTAAAATTACTAAAAAACTGTAGAGCACTGAGGATTGAGGAGGACACGACCAGTCGCCGGAAAAGGATGGTGCAACACTAATTTTCTTCTTGGGCCTTGGTGACTGACCAACGCAGAAGTTCATCAGCTGTTTCGGTGGACGCAGCTTTGTTCTTTCCATGTGTTTGCCATTTAAAAAGTATAATTTTTTCTAGGGAGCGTTCGTTGGGAGGGCAGCGTTGTCAATTTCAAATCTGAAGTTTCAGGTTTCCGAGGACTTGCCAAGAGTTTGATATTCGATACAACTTGGCAATGACGTCGAGTGGTGCTGAAGTAAAAGTTTATGGGTTCCTGTGACAGTTATAGGTTTTTCGAATGCAGTTCTCACCGTCAGGGTGCGACGGCTGTCTTTTGACATTGAAGCTCCGGTGGGGGTGGGTCGTAGTCTAATTTGACGGAAGTGGATAGATTTTAACAGCAGGTCGTTTGTAGACTCCACTTGCTGTTTTCACTGTGACAACTCTGACAACGTTGTCAGCGCCAGGGTGCACTTGCTGTATGCGCCCTTTTTTCCAATGCGTTGGTGCCAAGTCATTGTCCGCAATGATTACTAAGTCACCGACTTTTAGGTTTTCTTCGTGTTTGGACCATTTTGTTCGTTGAATTAAGGTATGAAAATAGTCTTGCGACCATACCTTCCAAAAATGTTGAGTTAATTTTTGCAAAAGTTGCCAACGGGAGAGTCGATTCGTTTTTACATCCAGAAAATCATATTCGGGCACGGCAACAAAGGGCCCACCAACTAAAAAGTGGCCCGGAGTGAGAACGTCAACTTCGGCTGGATCCGTCGAAAGTTGACACAAAGTGCGAGAATTCATAATAGCTTCGATTTTTGAAAATATCGTCGTCATCTCTTCGAATGTTAAAGTTTGATCGCCGATGACTCGTTTGAGGTGATACTTTGCTGATTTAAGTCCAGCCTCAGATAGTCCAGCAAAGTGAGGCGCGTTCGGAGGTACGAAATTCCACTCAACTTTGCGTTTAATTAATTCTTCATCAATTGTGTTTTTATTATCAGTTAAAAATTTGTGCATCTCAGTTAGGTGGGTTTTCGCACCAACAAAATTGGTGCCGTTATCATCGATAAGTAAATCCACAAATTTGCCATGGTTTGGCATCAAAACTGGATTTTTTGCAGAGTCAGGTATATTTGCTTTGCATAGCCTACCCCCCACCCTTAGAATTCCATCCGAATCGATAAAGGGTTGCAAGTGCCTCAGTGTACGTAATACAAGAAAAGGCGATGAGCTGATGCCGTGGGTGACCGTGTTCAAAACAAATTCCTTAATTTCGCCGTTTTGACTTCGCCAAATAATTCGCTGATACTTCTGTTCCTCTGGACGAATTAAGATCAGTCGATACATTTTCGATATATCGCACGTTAAAACATATTGGTGTAATCTGAATTTCGTGATGATATCAAAGATATCATTTTGTAGTTTAGGTCCTGCATAGACTATGTCATTTAAGGAAACGCCAGAGGTAGTTTTTTGTGAAGCATCAAAAACTACTCGATATTTACTCGTGGTGCTCTCTGGACGCATGACGCAATGATGTGGAATATAATATTCAGCTTTTTCGGTTGTTGAGTTGACAGCGCTCATGTGACCTAACGATTCGTAGGTTTCCAAAAATTCGCTATATCCTGTTTTCAACTCAGGATTCTTGTTTAATTTACGCTCTATGCCAGTTAATCGATTTATCGCGAGACCCCTGGACTCCCCAAGTGTGGGAGCGTTTTCGCGCAACACAAGTGGCACTACATATCTGCCATTTGGTAACGTGTAGTGTTCCTCGCTGAATATCTTTTCAGCTATGATATCATCGGGATGCATTTTTGAAATGGAGGGTACTTCCTCTAGTTCCCAAAATTTCCGTAAGATGGCGTCTTGTGACGGCGTGACTATCAGCGCAGTGCGCACCTGCGTGCGTTCCTGGCCGACTCTTCCTGTGATCACCCAGCCGAAAATGCTGGCTAAGGCAACTGGATAGCCTGGTGGCCCAAAGCGTTTTTCGCCGGTGTAAATGTATGGAAATATATCGGCACCGACCAAAAATTCGATTTCTTGTTTGACAGCGAACCCTGGATCCGCCAACATCAGTTGAGAGAAATGAGAATTTACATTTTGCGATAAGTTCAAATAGGGCAAGTTACCCACAATCTTCTTGATGATTGTTGTCTCTGTTGACAACACTGGCTCATCTTTGCCCCGAGGTTTGATGAGGCATGTTGCGCGGCCCTTAACTGCATCGGAGGTGTGACCTCCCCCGATTCCAGAGACCAGTTCGTTGAGGCGTTCGTATTTCAATTTGAGTTTTTGAGCAGCAGATTTTGTTAGAAACGATGTTGTGGCGGCACTGTCGATAACTGCTCTAAGCGTGTGAAATCGCCCGTCCCCTCCCTGCACGTCAATCAAAGCCGTGCCGAGTAAAACTGAGGGATGAACATCTGGAGCGTCCGCAACTGAGGCAAGGGCGACGGGACCGTGATCTGAACTGGGACCGGGACCCTCTCTCCCGGTAGGGGGGTCCGCTTTGGTGCCAAGATTTTTCGTCGTAATGCAAGTTAAGGAATGGTGGGGACCAGAACAGTGTCTACATCTGGAATCACTCTTGCAATCCTGCTTTTTATGATTTTGGCCCAGGCAGTTGAAACAAACCCCTGCTCGTCCCACCAGATCACGCCTCTCTGTGATTTTCAAGTTTCTAAATGATGGACAAGTATACAAGGGATGAAACTCGCCGTTACACGAAATGCATTTCCGGGCTCCCTGAGTTGACTTCCCCCCTTGTCCTCCTGGCGTTGGCTCACTTTTCGGGTTCGAATTCGAAGTGACCAAGGCCTTGATCCTTGGCTCTTTCTTCTCGTGTTCTGCTGGACTTGTGTCGTCTACTGCAAGGCACTCCTTGTCCAGAAATTTAACCAAAATATCCACGTCGGGGTAGTCAGTGTCACTACCACGGTAGTCGTCCAAACGTCGACGGTAATACGGCGAAAATTTGCGGTAAAGAACTGCAACCAAAAATGCATCATATTGCTCGATGTCATATCCCAGCGCCTTGAGCGCCTGAGTGTGCTCCCTAATTTTTGTGATAAATGAGGAGAGCTGGGAGCTGTGTTTCAGCTCTGATAATTCGAGGAAACGATTAAAGTGATGGAAAATATGCCTTCGCTTACAATTGTAGCGACTGCACAACAGTTCCCATGCGACCGTATAATTTGCCTCAGTGATAGCTAGTCCTTTGACTAGATCTTTGGCTTCACCATCTAAAGTACTAAGTAAGTACTGAAATTTTTCAACATCCTTCAACGGAGATTCATGAATGGAAACAATGAACAAATTATAGAAATTTTGCCAAGTCGAAATTTCGCCTTTGAATTTTGGCAAATTAAGCTTTGGGAGCCGAATGCCGTAACTCGAGGACCGTGAGCTAAATTGTCCCGAGCCACCAGCTGACGAGTGAGGCAATGAGTGATTTGAAATGACTGATCCTACTTCCGTTTGATGAAGAGCTTCGCGGAGGTATCTCGTTGCTCGCGCGACAACCTCGTCGAAAGAATCTTGAATAGATTCTCCTTGTTTGATTTCTTGTGAATCCAACTCCTCGAGTTGATCCTGAATAGCGTCAAATGATTCGAATCTTTTTTGTAAAGATACTAAATTTTGCTGTAAGAGATCTGGATCCCGATTTTCTACATCATCTCGCCAATTATCAAGTTTTTTGGTGAAGGTTGTGATTGATGCCTGCACCTTACCCCGTTGCCGTCGTAGGGTTTTCACGTTTTCGGCCATGATTAGGTGCGTTAACAAGCAAATCTAAAATCCAAGTTCAAATTTTAGAAAAGCATGATTCGGTACGATAAAAGTCAATCTAAAATCCAAGTTAGACCTTAGAAAAACCACTGTGATTTCGCAATTTAAGTAAAATTACGCCGCGATAAAAGTCAATCTAAAATCCAAGTTAGATTTTAGAAAAACTACTGTGATTTCGCAATTTAAGTAAAATTACGCCGTTATTCATCCAAAGTTGCTGGTCTATTGATCCGGCCCGAGGGACCAAAAATGAAGGAAGAAGAGAGTCCGTGTTCAAATCCGGCCCGAGGGACCAAAAATGAAGAGAGAAGAGAATCCGTGTTCAAATCCGGCCCGAGGGACCAAAAAATGAAGGAAGAAGAATCCGTCGCCGAATTCTCGATGCTTACCGAGGGACCAACTTAGTAAGAAACTAAGTAAGATTTCTCAACAGCACGAGTGTCAACACGAAGATCGTGTCGGACTGCCACTCGTACCGTATAAGAGAACAAAAATCAGGGAGACAGCCCAGAAGTCAACACGACAAGTCGTATTGCGAATCCTTCTGTGCTGAGGTCCTCCCAGGTGAGATGTACTTGATAGTGAACCAATCGATATGCAGGTGAAGTTGAGTTTATTTTGAGGAATACAAACAATCTGCGATGTTTGTGTCGTTGCCTCAAGAGAGATACGTCACGGGAAAGTTTTCCGCATTTGACGGAGTCACAAGAGCGTGCAGTAGATTCAGAACGAAGAGCTGACGAGGACTAACGCGGCTCTCTCAACTGATTTTACTCTAAGGGATGCAGCGCAGGTCGCGCCGCGCATGCGCAGTGGAGTCCTCAAAACAAGCGGGGGTGGTGAAGAGAGAGAGAGAGAGAGAGAGAGCAACGTTGGATGAGGTAGTGAGAGCGAGAAGAAATGCAGAGCCGAGGGTTGAAGATTAGAGAGAGAGATAGACACATACATACACGAGAGAGGAGCGAGAAGGAGAGCGACATGTGATTCAAGACAAGGGGAAGCGTGCAGAAGGCTATTCATTTCAGTTGAAAGAGAAAGAGAAAGGCCCATTCATTCCTTTTAGAAAGAGTGCGATGATAAAAAGAGGGGGCAACGACACAACATTCGATGACTTATGCTAAAAAGACAATTATTACAAAAATGACTTAAGATTAAAGTTAAATACCCAACACCAGCTTTACCCAAAAATCCACCCGGATTTTATTATCTGCAGCATAACGGCACACAGGCGCCTATAAACCCACTAGGGATACTTCACGCATTGCGCAATGCGTGAAGTATCCCTGTTAGGTTTGTAGGCGCCAGCGCGAGTTTCGAGCTGGCAGCACGCCGCACAGTTCGGCATCCTTATGAACGATGCAGACGAAAATCGGTAAAAGACACTTAACTTGAAATAATGAAAGTAGTAGCACCGACATAAGAAAACCTATTGGCACCAACACAGTAAAACACTCGAGGAGTGAGACAATGTTTTATCTCAGGATTTTTTGTGTTTTTTCCGAGAAAGGTTCATTTGAATTCGGCAATCTCGAATGGAGAATTTGCATGCAAATTTTTTATTGCTTCATCTGAAAGTGCTTAAAGACCTGATTTCATAGTATTTTTCATAATTTTTTTCTGATATGGGAAATAGTGTCCAAATGAACTCAAAAGTAAAGAAATGCACCGCCTAGTGACGTCATCTGGCAGCATTTCCCATTTTAAAACGCGTATTTTAGTAGATTAGATCATTTTGTCTTATCTTCTCCAATAATTGTTCAATTCATGAACCAAGGGTATCCTCGTTCTCAGTTCACTCAGCAATTTCCACTTAAACACGAAATTCATCAAATTTCAGACACCTGCAAATCCTCTATTAGCCCTATGTTAACAATGTACAAAAGCAACGTATAAAACACCGTATTTTTAACTTCAAATATCCCTGATAGTCGCAGAAAGTCGCAACATCTTTTTAATAGGATTGAAGTTGGATATGTGAGGTTTAAAAAAAATTCAACCACCCAGAGCATTTTGCGTTTCAAGCGAAAAATCTTCATTGGAAGTTGACATCTTTTTCCCGTGTATTTCTTATGGACCAGTGACTCTCGACCCATTGCCCGCCCACTTTCTACCCAAATTTGAAGCAGATTTAAGTGAAAAATGTGAAAATGAATCACCATCGTGAGGGAGAAATATCTGTATAATGACCAACTCCAAAACAAATATTCAGTTGTCGAGTTGTGATATTTTCATCGTTCTTAGCGGGCCGCCCTGTCCGACGGCCCAACTGCCTTAAAAAGCGTACCCCAGCAGCACGATGTTTCAGGGGAGCATTATAAACCGTGTACGTTCCTTATTTTTCGATGATGGGTGTATAATTTTGTACTCAACTGACACAAATTGTCATGTAGGTCAAAATGTATCCCTTGTATAAGGGATAAAATCAATGTAAAAATGCTGTCGCAGAACAACTAAGACCAAGTCTGTAATTCGGAAACTCTGATAAATATTGGAATGCGGTTTTGTAGTTCCAGCTATCAAATTCAAAAGTTGAGCTCATTCGGTTAATAACTCAACGAGCTAATGCAATTTTTCGGGGACGAGTTGAAAATTACCCTTCAGGATTCCTGAGCTATAAATAATTTCATTTTGCCACCCATGTTGCTGGAACACGTCGCATTTTCAATTGGTCCCGTAGAATTCGATGAATCGAACTTCTTGGAATTTGTAGCAACTCCGCAAGAGCACGAACGAATCAGTGCAGGTCCTCTCGAATCACTGCGGCCATGGTGCCGACGTGGCCTCTGTCGTGAAAGTTGACGGCCCCGGCCGCCATGCCATGCGGAATCAAAGCTGCCGACTCTCGACCCTCGGAAAAGCATTAATGCCAGCGAAGACAGGTATTTTTGTCGATTTAGTCCATAAGCAATTGTCATCTGGACGTATTTCTGTCAGACGGAACTAAGCGCCAATTTGAGTTCCTTTTGAGGAATTTAAAATGCCGGATAGCGCGTTCTGTCAAACGGAAGTAAGCGCCATGGAAAAGCATTGCGAGTATAGGATGGAATAAGCCGGACGCCCGATTCCGCCGCCAAATCAAGTCCCCCGCTACCTTCCTCCTCCGATGGCGCTTAGTTCCGTTTCACAGAAATACGTCCATCTCATTCAAAATATCAGCGGCAGAGAGGCCACGGCGAACGCGATAGTGAATGGCATAACGTTGTTCTTGATGCACACTCGGTCGGCGAGCTCATTGCTTCGCAAGAAAACACTTCGTTACGCTGGACGGTTTTGGCTGCACCGAGCTTTCACGTGGACGAAATGTCTCCATCGCGATGAAAACACATGCTAACAGGTTATATCTTACATCTAGATTAGTGCCTACATGATCCCTAGCGTCGCGATCTGCAGCGCAACTCAGGAGCAGTTCGCGAAATTAAAAATTACTCGAAAATATCCTGTAGGGATGGTGCCACTCGTTTTCTCTGAAATCGTCCCCCGAGCTCAAAGAAAGCTCTCAAGTTGAGGCCAAAATGGAGGCGATATCCCGCACTACCCTGAGAGTCCACCTTTACATCAAAACAAACTCTCCATGCAAAGATAGGGAGCAAATACATTGACAGGGCTGCCACTTCATTTGGGTACTCCAAAACTGAAAACACGGCAACCCTGCTTATGTATTTGCTCCCTATCTTTGCATGGAGAGTTTGTTTTGATGTAGAGGTGAACTCTCAGGATAGCGTGGGATATCCCCGCCATTTTGGCCTCACATTGAGAGCTTTTTTTGAGCTTGGGAGATGATTTCAGAGAAAACCAGTGGCTCCATCGTGTTTCTCGCGAACTTTTACATAAGAATCAACAGTCAAATCGCAAATCTCTCACACATGCAACATCTCCATTGTTAAGCAAATCTTGGCAAATATATTTAAATATATGGGATGTATAATTATTGATCCTCTACTATTCGCTGCGGCAATAAAATTACCATTCTCTTTTTGTCAGTGCTGGAATGAGGAAACTTGGCAACATTTTCCGTGGAGCGGCTGAGGAATGAACATTCTTGGAAGGGAGCTCACACGGAGAGAAATCTGAAAGGTTCCGTTAATGTTTAACCAGGAGCTATGCGGGGGTGGAGGCGACGTAATTGGAGATTATTTATTCACGTAAACGATCTCTTTCCCGTCTGTATTAACGTGTTAACCTGCGTCGCTGACTGTTTTCTAGGATTTCGCACCTGTCCTCATATCGCGTCGACTTCACTCCCGAACGCTTTTCAGTTCATAGAGATCGGGATTCGAGGCTCATTTTCGGGTTCAGCAAAAACCTCCCGTCTATTACTTCATATTAACGCCGTAGTAAGCTTCGTCATGAAATGGGCCGTTCGCACAGTGCGATATCAGGACTTCCGTGATAGCGAAGAGAGCCGTAAGTGCAAATATCAAGTTTCGAGAAAACGGGCTCAAAAACCACTTAAAAAAAGGACCACGTCTTCATAAAAAACTTGTTACTCGTAAAGAATTTTTTTCGAATGATTCAAAGCACAGTTTTTGAGAAAACGGGTTCAAGAGCGTCTGAGCGGAAAGTTTGATTCAAAGAAGCCTCCGTTCTTTGTCAGATTCCCACTAATACTCCGAAAGACTCTTGAAAATCATTCACTAAAAAGAAAAGAATCTTAAATACCACCAAGAATTATTTTTTCTTGAATCAAGAATTTTGCTGTTTAGTAGGAGCCACTTTTTCGCTTAAACCAAGCATTATTTTGCTTGTATCATGAAAAATTCAGCTTAAATCAAGATACATTGAATTCTCGGCGGCAAAATGAAGAATTATCAGGCTTGAACCAAACACCTTTTTTTCAGTGTTTGGATGATTAAAAATCAACCGATTTTATCCATGCACAATTTTGCATTCCGGCCATAAATGGGCTACTTCTGTGATAATTTCGGCTACAAACTCTCGTCCGTTGTCACTCTGGAGAATATGAGGCGCCCCTTTGTGAA